CCAAACTTATACTAGGATACAAAATAATAGGACTGTTCTGAGCTGAGGATTATTGTAGTGCACTTACTGCTTTGTGAAATACTCTTCCATGAACTTTTGAGTCAACCCTAAGTTAACACTAGGTAACTGCTTTAATTTGAGTCGTAAGTAGCACCATGTTCAAGTGATAGTGGGCGCTTCGATTTCTGATCAACCTCTTTTTATGTTCTATATATTAGGTGCATGAACATATGTTTTATTTTCATGTCATTCATAGTCGTAGGCTAAAAATATATTCTATTTCGTATCATTTTTAATGTCAAATCAATCAAAATCGTCTTTTTTCTTAACCACTAATGGTATTTATTCAATGATTTTCCATAAGATGTGAATTGCCTTCCTGACATCTGCAATCTGAGCAATGGTTCCTTTGAATGAGCACGTTAGCATGATCAAGGGTATCGTGGAAAAATATGTGAATAATGTATCATCTTTAAAGACGAATCATCTTAATCACTTGGACGAACTCCTGAATGCGGGTGAGCATTTTTGGTATTCAGTCACCTTTTCGTTGCATTTTATCGTCATATTTAAATTATTTTTTCCAATTTAAGATCGCATTATCAATTTGAGAGCTGTTGTACTCAAACCTTAAAATATTAAAAATGGAAAAGAAGACTGGACATAACTCGGGTCGCAGATATCAGTATTATCAATAATGAACTAACTTATATTCTCTTGACACAGTTTGTGCTAATATCAGACGCTTCAGCGATAGATACTTATCATGATGTGGTTAGTATTCATTGACTTGTTCGTTGATATTTTCTCATCCCAGCGTTAATTAAATAGCTGCCAAACGAAAAGCAACTAGTTCTACAATTCCATTTCAGGTCTAGATGAAATACTACTGTCTGCACTTGGTGTAACAACAGTATTATGTTTCTTGAAGATTACCAACATCTCCAATATTTATTTCTGTTGTTAGCAGGGTATTCGATAACAGTATCATAGATATTAGTGTAGCGTGAACTCTTAAAACCCAAAGCACTCTGTACCTGAATCCTACTTGACAGTCACGTGTACACTTTCTGATTGAATGAGACTGGAAATTGAGAATGATTAGAATATTTGTAAATATCCAGTTTCTGCATAGGTACTTACCTACTACAGCTCGGATAAAGTGAAAGATGAGTTTACTAGCGTTGTGAATATAATATTGGCAATTTTTTCAGAACATTGTTACAAACGGCACAATACCGACTATGTCACAAAAAACGAAATAAACTACTATATTCATCCCGTTATATGCTATGACCAAAGTGTGGCATGTGGCATCTGAATCTTTACCAAGACCAAAATCCTTTTCTCCAAATGCATGAGGCGTCTGAATTTCTGATGCCTGATTTTTCATTACATCTGCCGCTTCAAAACAGGGTGATAACTTATGTCGACAGATGTTTAGAGTATCATAATTATTGTTTATTACAAGTATGCAAAGCAGCGTTAATTTGTCCTACAAGCATAATTCGCCCTAGAAAGAAACAACATCTCAGATCTCCATAGTTGGGTTGTAATTTTATTTTACATTAGGAATAAAGAAAAGTAGCCAATGGAACACTCAAAATGCAAATTGTACTCACCGGGCGTAACCCTGGTTCCCACCGGAATCATTTTAAATATCATTGAGATGCAATATACATATAAGATAATATTTCTATATGTCTGGGTACAAGTTAACTGTGCAGCACTAATCACTTGAGTGACATGAAAAAATTTCTAAGATAGGCAGCCAGACAAACAAAATCAAATTAGAACCTCGCACAAAAGTGCTTCGGTTCAAGCTGCCACACTACACAGTACCATGCAGAAAACAGATGGATAGAAAAAGACTTATTTCAAAGTAGACAAAGGTGTATAGGAGGAAAAAGAATTTGAAAATCAAAGTTAGTCAAAGCATTCAGGCTTAGAAAAACGTCAAAGAGTAAATTTGATCGGTTTTCAACCGCGTTACCAAGTTTATCCATCCATTAATTTTCATTATCTTGAGGACGCCGACCAAGCAGTTTACACCTCCTTACACGGCTAAGATCAGAGTCAGAGACTTGGTAGACTGATGTCACGTTTTAGTCTGAACATCCTGTGCGCTCTCCAAACCTAATACAACTTCCCTAGCATTTTACATCGACGTAGGCGATGCGCAACACATGCCCAAGTCACCTCAGTCGCTGAAGGTTCAAAACCCCATCGACCGACTCGTCTTGTACCCTTCAGCTAACTTCTAAGTCGCTTACACGGTAATTCCACCACACGTGAGCAGCTCTACAAAGATTCCTATAGTCAGAAACTTGTAGTCTCTTCATATCTTCTACTCTTAACGACCATGTCAGCCGTATAACAGGATGAAACGGATTGTAGTGCAGTGCACTTATTTTTTAACTGGTAATTGGATATCTTGCCATTTGGCGCACGAGATGATGCAAGTTGGCAAATGCAAAACGATCCTTCTGTATCCGAGCTGAGTTGTAATGCATAAAACTTTATAAAAGCAATTTAGACCACAAATACTCACAATAGTCAAGTCAATAGTTGACTTCACTGCGAAAAATGCATGTCAACGTTAGGCGTGACTCGTCATATTGGGTTTCAATACTTTTGTTAGTGATTAAATTAAGATTATCACGTGCCATTAAATGCTATGATTTTGTGAACCGGTGGCACTAGAAATCTGTGTATTTGTGCTGCAGACCACTCTCAAAAGTTGATACAATAATGAGTTGAAAATATAGTGAAATATGTATAGTGTTTGAAAACGTTAATCATTTCCCTTCCGATATTGATCCCACTTAATGTATCTATTTACTATCAAATTCATTCCTTATCCATTTTGTATCGTTTAGACCACCGGTCTATTGAATCGCCACAAATGAATCTCCAGTTAGCTGTCGGCGCGGCTGAGACTGAATTAAGGAAATTACTCTTTGAAGAAGACAGATTGAAACGGGAATGTGAACAATTATCAAAAGGATTGAAACAGCTTACAGCTCAACATAATGCCGACTTGTTGGAAAAGAAAACTACATTAGAAGATCACCAATCAAAGTTGAAATTCGCAAGGTAATTACTCTCTCCATACTATATTGAATATAATTATTTCATTGTTCGTCTCTTTTATTTCCGCTTGATGTATGAAGCGACCGAATTCAGTTGAACTATCATTCAGCTGCTAAATCGTGTTTATTTGAACTGCTTACCAGTAGCTATGAATATTTGCAGAAATTGAACTGTGTTCGGTCGAAAAGTTTTGTCCGTCACTAATTCTCTTGTGTAGATTGTCGTATATTGTTATACTTTTGTTGCTGATTCACAGGTTTTCGGCAATATGCATCCTAAGTAGGCGTGAATATCAAAATACACTCAGCAATGTCGCGCACGTCCGTGCAGTGGGTAATAGGCTACGCCTGTTGTGTGAGGACTTATAATAAAATCTGGCTCCCTGGACCTCGTATGTGGGACGGAGTTCGAACCTGCTGCCCGTCAGTTGGAATTCGAGTGTCTAAAGCATTGGGCCACAGCTTCACAAGACGAGAATATATGAAACAGGAATGCAGATTTTCCATTATGAAGTTTTACAGATCCTAAATCCTCGCAAGTTTCGCTACTCTTCGGACTACTGTCTACAGAAATGTTCTGTTTTCCGGGATTTGAATTAATCTTCTAATCACAGGTTATTCGTTTCAGAGATGACATTCTTGATGTTTCTTATTCGTTGGATTTGGAGGCAGTCAAACTGAGGGTTATCACGGATATCAAACTATGACTATAGATGATGGTTGTGCTGTGTTACTAAGTTGGGTCATGGCAAAACTTCAGCTACACCGGGTTCCCATTTAAGAGCTCCGCGTCACCCCTCTAGTACAATCTAGTTGAGCCCTCCGGCCAATGAAACATAACCCTGTTATCAACATGATCAAGAGGAATGTTTTATATATATATATATATATATATATATATATATATATATATATATATATATATGAACAACTTTAACAATCAGGATGTTGTATATGCGCTTTGCGGTTTGTTCAGTCGGTCAGGTTCGCTCTTGGTTAACAAATAAACTTCATCATACCCATTTTGCCCAGAAAATTTATTTTTTCATTTCTTAAAATATTATGGAAACATTCGCAGCAATCCTTATTACTGACCACTCCTATCTAACCTACATTTCATTTGAAACTAATCCGGTGAGGTTTTGAATGGCTGGAAAGCTCGAAGTGTTAGAACGATCAGACCCTCCTCAAAAAGTGATAAAATATTATTGGCTAGCTGCCTAAAGGATAACAATTGGAGGAATAAGTGATTTTCTGTTCGTCAACGAAACGTTTTCACAAAATTTGTATAAACTTTGTTGGGAGAATTTTCGCAATGTAAACTGCTTAGATGCATTTCTTCAATGCACTAATGTACACATACATGAAAGTGTACTGCATCATAAGAGTAAATTCCTTTTCCTGTCAACTTTCTAATTTAACGTGTATACCGGATATAAGTGTTATGACATATATAGTTTGTGTTGATATAATGCCTCACTTAAATTTCTGGCAAAGACCTGATAAACTTGAATTTCTCAACTTTTCAAAGAAGGCAGATGGACGAACTGAGCCGGTCCACTATTTGTTTACGTAGAATTATTGCTCCAGTAGACTGCACTAGACGTTAATTGTAATCGCTTACACATCCTTTTCACTCAAATTTGTCATGCCTGTACGGCTGGCAAGATTTCTACTGCATGATTAATCTTATATAAGATCGTTAACGATCCGATTCTATGATTAGCGGGAACCGAAGCGCCGCAGTATCTTTTTTATCCCTCAGATGCAAGAGAATGCTACAGAACTGATACCTACCATGTACCTTAGTTATTTCTAATTGAAAACTGACGCTTTCACCTATAGGACGATTTCCTACAGTTTATTCCTGGGTAAACTGATGTTGGCAAGAAAACCTTGATCGGAATTTAGCAAACTAAATCGCTTGTGCATCCAATGAGCTTTGAAATATCTATCCAGAACCGTCATACAACACAATACTGTTCCCCTTCGTTGTACGCTTATGAAAACGATCATTCAAGGTAATGGCGACTTCGTCATTAGAGGTGGCTGGAGCATATGTTACGTTTGCTGAATCGCCATCTTCCCCACTGTTTCCTCGTTAACCGCAAATACGGTTATGTTCATGAAAACCAAACTAAAACGTGACGTCAGTCCAAATAGTTTTTGACCATCTGTGTAAGCCTAATGGGGAACTGTAAATTCCCGCTTGACAACCAGAACCGATGGTTGGAGGCTATGGGTGATTTGGTTCAGAACCCATAGCAGTGGCACGATTGCATCCGTTGCTTATTTCATCGTAATCCTCAAATCACATTTTTTAAAATTTGCTTTTATACATTTTTGGCTCTGTACGACTTTTTTTCGTTTGCGTTTGTCTTGATTTGACGTTTAGCAACTTAAATGGTTTGACAGTGGTGTCAGATCTCATTTTTGTTAGGACCAAATGAACATGTAGGAAATGCACGTCCATGACCAGTCAGGCAGGTGAAGTTGGTGTGAACACTTCATCTCTATGAAGTGAATTAGTCGACGAATATTGCCAGTGACCTCAACTTCCAATAATGATCTGGTGTTAAAACCACTCTTTTTGATAGTGTAGTTTACAAAACATTCTAATTGTCTGTGCTGTTCGATAATGTTTTTAAATGATCCTATGTATTTAAACGTATGTTTGCAAGTTGGATCTGCGATTTTTAAACTACATGTACTTCTTCAGAAAATCGCTATCGTTTTTAGCACCAGTCCATAAAACCCGTGGTTGTCCGTCTGAACCACTTAGCTTTGTTTTGGTCTATTAGACAACCAATAGTGATTATAAGAGAATTTACGTAATATAGTTCAGTACCAGTCTCAGAATCACCCATGTTTTGTTTTCTAACTCGTGAGTTTTTACTCTGCTTTACTTTGAAGATTTCAAGATAAAACATTTAAGACTTTAAACCTTTTAAAATTTCCTCGACAAATGCATGCGGTTGATTATCGTTGTTCAATCCCGAATGCGTGTAAAATCCAAATTAACATATCACCAGTAAACTATTTGCTGTATACCCACTTAGTGTTTTACTAAATTATTACAAGTATTGTGAATCTCATCCATAGCAGTATGTATTACAGAACGCTCAAGCTTGCGTAGACCCAGAACAGCAAAATTAAGTTGGTGGAGTCAAATAAGAACGACGAATAGATTGTTATTTCATCTATCTCGACGGAACTGTAGCCAGCGAAGTGATGAGGATTGCATAAAACAAATATTATAACACTGATTAGTATATTTCACCGGATTTTATATCTTTTTTCAAGAAAGAAATTATTGGTTTACGAAAGATTTACGAATACAAAGTTCGCTATTGACGAAATTTCAATCACAGCTTGTATCCTTTTTATTGATGGTAAGATAAATGTTTTTTAGGTTATTTGCTCTTTATTTCGATAATGCAGTTAAAAAGCCTTGCCTATTTTACTTAGGTTAAGTCACCGGGTCCTCAATTATTGTACAAATGGGATGTGATATTTATTATTCAAGAGTAAATTGTTAATTTAGCTAAATTTTCATAACGCTCATCTACACTTCTCATCTCTTGAAACTGTTATACGGGATCACAACTTTTGGCAAACTCGACAGTACAAATGCACCACTCATGCCAAATAGGCAGGTAAAGTAATAAGAAAACCTAGGTATACGCATTTATTGTAAATATAGTTCCTTTCCCTAACTGATTTCTACTAACGCAGTTATCGTGAATCCAGATGATGCGGTGAAAGTTAATCTTCCAAATACATTACTAAAAGCAGAAACTGATCTTTGTCAAGTAACAAACGAAAACGATCCTTCAAGAACTGAAGTCACAGGTTTAACATTCACTGAAGATATAGTTGCGGGGATGAACAGGTTGTGGGAGCGCATGGAAGTCTCTGATAAGTGGGAACACTTGGTCGGACCAACACACATAGCAGCTGACTTACCAAAGCAAACATCAGTGTGTAACCGAAAAGTTTTGTGTACGCCAGAAAATGATGCTCAACCATCGTAATTTATTCACTTTTACTCAGTTCCTAACTGTTTGTTTCATCATTCCTATGTTGTTTTGAATTCTCGAATATTGCATTAATGTCTGACTTTGGATAATACTAGCTTAAAGACGCGTTCTTTATCGTGCTGATATGCCAGAAGCTATCGGTTCTCAAAATCTTGTTCCATTCTGAAAATTCTAGCTTACATATAAAACCTGTATCCCCAACCAAATATTACTGCAATTATTCCTACCAAATGAAGTCTCATCCACTACTTTTATCAACAAAAATCACTTACAGATTTTAGTTGGTGCGGTGAAAACAGTCTACATTGCGTAATCTTGCGCTCTCAAGCTGTGTAGTTATTATCGGTAGAAATCTTAATGTTTCTAAGATCCCAGGAAAATTCTGGTTGCCACACTTAGCTCCTAAGGCCAACACTCGAATGAAGGAAGCATGTGTAGTTCAGAAAAATCTTTTCTTAAGACGTAGACAACTTATTGTAGCATAAATAAGGATCGTGCTACTCCCGTTATGCACATCTACAAGCAAAACAAGTACAATGCCGATTGTAATCTTTTTAATATGTATGAAGGAAATAATTGCATATATAATTATCTATATAATAGAAGAACATTGGGGCGCTTAATTAATTCACAGCCAAAGAAAATCTTTAAACCAGAAAGAAGGCTTAGAAGAGAAGAACCAGTCCTCTAGGCGTAAAAATACCACACAATCTAAAGTAAAAATTGCCTGAGCAACAAGAAAAAGCAGTGTGACAACGGAGAACAACATTTACAGTATATGATATTGATACTACTTTCACAAACGCCTTTTAAACTCTGTAAGCAGTTTGAGGTTGTGAGAAAGGTTGAAATTACGAGAAGTAAATTTGAAGAACTAGCACTTTACACTAATCCTCGTGTTATACATAAAAGCTTACGACAGAAAGGTAATATTTGAAGGCTATCCGGATTGGGGGAATAATAAGATATTTAATCCGTAATGAATGAATTGTAAGTAAAGAGAAGTTAAGTTAAAGATCAACAACACATGAATGAAGACACCAAACACCATTGTAAACAAAGGGAAAAATAACTGCTGCAATGATTTAGATGAGACTAATAAACATTATAATAAATCTTGCATAAGTTACTGCTTAAAAGTCAAGAAAAACGGTTAAAGAGTGAGATAACATGATAATAGTGAAGAATCTACTTTTTATAATATATTAGTGAGAAAAATAAGTTTTAGGTACAAAAGAAAGTGAAGACAGATCTCTTGTTTCATTACTTCGAAATCATAAATCACTGTGATGATATATATATATAAAGAAGACAACACTGATCAAAACAAAATGCAACCATGTTTAAAAAAAAGGTAAACTCAAAGAGTTTAGTGGACTAGCAGCACAAGTACCAACATTCTATTTTTAAAAGCGATAACATTTTGGTGATTATAGTGTCATTACAAAGGTTATCATCAAACACAGACATGATAAACAGTGGTTGGGAGAAAACACTGAAAGTACAGACTGTTATTGCCATTTTATAATATTCTAACATAGTGTCTATGCATCTAATCAGGTGAACGAAGCAAAAATGGTTAGCACTAACTCTGAATTAGTTGACACCAATAATTAATTTTAAGGCCACTAGGGGTTCTTTCATTGGAACAAAATATGCAAATAAACCCTAATTATTAGAAACCATATTCTAGACATTTTTACATAGAGTAACCTACGACAGACTAGTTACGAGAGCAAAGTATTGAGTGTGGCATAGTTTTAAAACTGATAATAAATCAAATAAATATTATTTAGTTCAACTAGCCCATTGGCCTTTCAGCCGGTTGTCAAAAGCCTGTAATATATACGAATTTAAAAGTAGTTCTAGTATTCGGCTGGCCAATAAGCTTTCCAATCACTGACGATTTCATGTTAGTTTTCGAGGGAAGAATTGTTCCGAATAAGAGTATGAAGGGTAAGTATATATATATGTTTATAAGAAAAAAATTTAGCTATCACATAATCATTATAGTAGTTACAATGGTAATAGCGATTCCGCGTAGTTTACGGATAAAAATATGCGTGTGCACACATACGTGAAAAGAAGAAATGATAAACATAAAAGAAGTCAAATACACCGGGTAATTTGTGTATATTTGCGGTATTAGATAAAGAGAAAACCTATATCTTATGAATATGGTGTAGGCATAATTTTTCTTTGAAAAAGCAGACTAAATAAATAGAAGCAGATTTTTCTTAATTTATCGAACAGTCCTGTAAAGCTGTACTCTCTAATAATGTAAAGGAAAATAACTATCAGGTTCTGACCACATCCTTAACGGATAACTGCTGAACAGTAACATTTACTAAAACAAGTTCATTAATACTTCAGTATACAACCAAAGCTCATATAGTGAGATGATACTTTATCTACTTACTTTCTAATTATTCTGTTAAACATATTCATGCGAATGAGAAGTATCCAAGTTGGTTTCCGACTGTTTTTATGTCGAATAGTCGTCGCAAGTCGGATTTCAGTGTATATAATTCTTGTGAGTATTGCTTTCATTAATTTTTGCAAAGCGTACTGCTGCAAAGTAAAGCAAAATGAGTCACTTCAATGTTATATATTTACTGCTATGATATATAAAATAATGAATTTACCTCAATTTTGAAAAACATCTAACAAGAGTAGTGATTATTAATTACTTACTACTATCAGTACAACCAAATATACCAGTCTCATTTTTATACACCATCTCTCATAACCACTGAATCCAGTGTACTCTGGTGACATGGCGACATTATATAGATCTGCACTAGTAATAACGCGATTCTTGACTGTGCTCTACTGTTTTGGTTGGACACTAGTCCCAAACTTACAAGCTCCCCAACGTCTCTTGAATGGTGGCATTAGTGCCTCTTCAGTGTACCAAGCTCAGCGTTAAAAAATTGTCAATCTCTTCGATACGAACTGAATACAGTTTATAGCACCAATGTTTATGAAACTGCTACCTCATTCTCGTGAAGACTCCATACTCAAACAACAGTTGGCGTCAGCGCGAATGGTGGGTTGTCGAGGACATGAACTCTCTATTCTTATTCAACTTAATCATAAACGTATTTATGGAGATCTCACTCTCGTCATCTGACTTAGCAGGGATTGATATCACCAAAGGATCCTTGGAAAATCTAGAATATGTGGATGACTTAGTCCTATTGTGTGAAGGAGCTGACACAGTGGTAGTTTCAGAATGGTCGGGATACTTTTCTCGCCAGCGAAATGCCAACTGTCGCCCTAAGACTGGTATTTGATGGTGCCGTATCTAAGGCTAAGTAGGAAAATGGTTGGGCGCGTTGACCACTTCACTCACCTGGGATGTTGGATCAGCTCTGGTGGGACAGTGACTGATGAGATCTCTGCAAGAATTAGAAAGGTTCGCTTTCACTTGCGTGCACTATCTATGGCTCCATCGTAGTATCCGATTGTCCATTAAGGGTCGACAGTACCGCGCTGCACTTCACTGTTTTATCATATGCTTGTGAGACACAGCCACTGGAGGTGAAGGATATGAGGAGGTTTCAGGTTGCATTCATAGCATAAGCTATTCGTCGTGTCGTCACTTCAGTAACGTAGATTTCAGGGATATATTTTCGCGGACTAGAAAAATCGATCAGTGAGGTTGTGGACCTTCATCAGCTTAGGTGGCTCGGACATGGGCTTCGCATGTCTAGTTGCGATTTCTAAGAAAACTAGGAATAAGGTTTCGATACCTTTGATCATTGCCAATGGTCACGGAGTGAAGGTTTGAGGAAGGCTTAAGAGACTTGATATTAGTATCTGGAGGTGAGGGTATGGAAGGAAACAAAGTTGAGGAGGATAGATGGCTTGGACACATACTGTGCATCTCGAGCCACCGCCCACCTCGATGTGCAATGTTGGAAGAGGGTTCAGGGTGGCCAGACTATAATGTGGCACGTGTGCACGAAATACTTAATTGCTGGTCTAAGCTGTGTAGACTACCTGGTTGTGGTCTCCAAGACGACTGTGGTTGAGGGTCCGCGGTGAAATGGCTGAAAATCGGTCACAATGGACAGATGTATTCACCTTTTGATGTTCTCTGAAACTTGGATGTTTTAATTAATATTAATTTTAAAATTCCCTCTCCTACAATATACCTTTATCTACTTTAATGTCAGTCTTTCCTATCCACTTGTCTTGGACCCCTGGTCTGAGTCATGTAGGCAAATGTAGATATCCGTTTGAGGTCCACATGAAATAAGCCAGTGGTTGAAGAGTAAGTGACATTAGCTCAGAATCGATGTCAGTGGTGCTGATGTATTCAGACATTATCCTCATCTTAGTCATCAAACTGAATTCAGTATTTCATTCCTCCTTGTTATGTTATCACGACTTCATACCACTTTTGACTGCTTTCTCCCCTGCTTCTTTATCTTTTCACCCTAATGCAATTCCAACCCAGTATGCTAAGATGTGGCAAGGTAGACTGTTAACGCAGTAATGCCTGTCCTTATGATAATGGTGACTGCTACCAAGGATTTTATTTGAACAACGAGCATCGATGTTTACCTTGGAATATAGACCGTTATACGATAGATTACAACCTTACTCAATAGTAGTTGTTGTAGTTTCACTTTTGACATAGCGAATGCATATGATAAATTAAATTGGCTTAAAGTCAGTCACTTTGAAGACTATCTTCAGATGTAGTCAACGAAATGCAAGACCTTCGAAATATTACCAACAAATTACCTTTGATTAACATATCCCAAACTAATCCTTCTATTATACCTCATCTACTGTCGTCGGAATGACGCCAACGATAAAGCAGTACATTTCCGATCTTAACCTAGGAATAAGCATCACAAACTCACATTAAAGATGGTGTTTTGACGTCTGGTCCCTGGAAGGTTATTAGTTTTGGTGTATTCTCGGAGCTGGATGGTTTAATTATGAAACTTTCGTTGTCATTCTACACAACAGTACAAAATCCACATTTTTCAAATAATTGACTTTTATTCCTTGTTTCACTATTTCCTACTTACTTTCCAAATGCTTATTTTACGCACCTCAAGAATGCTAGACTTGCGCATACCAATCATTAGTATTTCCCGGATGAAGTAAATTTCTGTAATTCAAATGCTATTTTGTAGTGGAAATAAGAAGGATGCCACTATTAATCAATTGTACAACCGGATATTGGTGCCATAAGCATTATTACGAATAAAACACAGTACTAAACAACTAATCAGTACACACTCGATACCAAAACTGTGTGTACTAATTCGAATGTGACTGTCGAATCAAGTACATCAGTTTCATAGGAATACAATTTTCTGACTCAAACAGCTGAAACAAGGAAAAGTGCCTGATAACTTACCTATTCAGCTATCTAATCCACTAGAGGTATCTGAAGTAATCTTGTTGCACAACTTGCTTTCTGCTTCAATTTGATGTGATTGTGAGGTGTCCTGGGTTTTGACAGCTGTCTTTTTGATTCCTTGTAAGGCAGTAATTTTAGTTGAAGGCGGGACCGTAATAGCTGTTGGTTTTAACTGTTCACACTGTGTAACTTGGTCACTCAGACCTAATGTATTGGAGCAAGTACAAGATCCAAATGAAGGACTAGAAGCCGGAGTATGAACGCTAGAAGAACTGTCTGCACAACTACAACAAGCAATCTCTTTCGAACTACACAGAGATTGTTTCATGGAAACTTGAGTACAACCAATATATGATGTAGAACCGTCGTTACCTATGACAAAATTTTGGGAGGGAAAATAATTAACAAGTTGCTATGGTTATAATTGATCACAAAGGAGAACGATAAACGCACATTTACTTCCAGTAGTAATAAAACGACGTCAATGGTAGAAATAAAATTAGAGACCGATAACCTACCAGAGATCAAGAACCCCTATAGTGGGTCGCTTTTCAAAAAGAGTAGGAAACGTTTCCTGAAATTAACTCAAGTCTGTATGCGCGCCACGATCGCTAACAAAATAACGTATTCTGAATTCAGTGGTTGGAAACGTATACTAAAATTTCAAACTCAAAAAAATACTTGTTGATTTGATGAAAAACCATTCTTCTGGATTGTTTAAATCGCATGTTTTTGAATAAAACATCATGGTTTGATAAGATGTGATGGTACAGGATAGATCAAAAACTGTAAACCAACATGGATTCGCGCCCAAAAAAGAACTGTTAAGCTATCTAGATTCTAAATTGTTCATCATGACGGATAAATCAAACTGTTTCTAAGACGGCACCGAGTTCGTTACATTCTAGAATTGTGTATAAGGCTTTACAGAAAATATACAACTGACTTCCTTAACAGTTAGATTTTTGAATGATGAGAGATCACTAGAAATGACATTGGGCATAACTGGCAGACACCACCGGTCGCCATCAATTCTGATGACAAGTCTCCACAAGCCCTTAAATGAATGGGTGAATTCGAGTGGAGAGCTTTGAGAAGCATTATGCATTTGCTCGGTACTCCCCTCATAGTCAGACACTGCCACAGCACCTCACGATCGACAGAGTCAAATGCCACCTTTAGGTCAAGAAATGTAGCGCTTGTTGTCCACGGGTGAGTGTGCCTGTAAAGCAGGACACGTAGAAGAGTGAAACCTGCCCGGTCTAATCGTAACAGGGCAACTGAAGCGTTGGCAAGGACTGGTTGAACTGTGCGCCTAAGTGTTCCGCCAAACGTTCTAGCCACCTGTCCTGAGTCCTTATGAGCGTCCCACCCCTTTCGGAGGAGGTTTCACTAACCATCGTCTTTTTTCCAGTATCCGTAATCAGCCTAATTAGTTGCCGGGCGTTACCCAATGCTGATGCCTTTTACATCACTCTCGCTACCCACCCACTGCGCCTGATCGACGCGAAGGCTCTTGGTCAACTTGTGTTTGAGTTGCTTTCGCTGCTCATCGTGGCCGGAGCCGGTTGGAATCACTATTCTCACATCAATCAGCTCGGATGACGTCGCGGAAATACAGTGACGTTTGTTAACCTTCGCATGTAGGTTATCAACTGTCCTTACCGCTGTTTCTACGGCAGACATAATATCACGCCAGATTTCCTCAGGATGGGCATCGCTGTCACTTTTGGATAAATGCTTATCTAACTCCTCAATACGTACCTGATTTACTTATCTAGTAATCGAGCACAAGTGGGTCTCACTGCATCCTGTTTCCTGCGGCCAGTGAAGTGCAGACATACGCAAGTTCGTACTAACGGATGATCGGAGTCTAAACAGGTACTGCAGAAAAGAGCGGCAATCTTCCTTCGATCCTGTACAACAATGGCTAACAGCAATATGATCTCTATAAACATTGTTGGTGTGGAGTCGGCAGACACCGTATGAAACAGTTTCGCTCCTAATGGTTAAAGCTAGTCCTGATCAAAAACAAGTGATTGTCAGACAAAATTGCAACAGACGATTACTGTTGCTAGTTCTTTGGCATAGGGTTCGGTAGATGCCTCCAACATGGTTTTACGACTGAATCAGCTTTTCTAATTGAACGCTGAAGTCCCCTTCTGTTATGACTACGCCTGAACGTTTGCTTTCTGTAGCAAAACTAACGGGTTTTGGTAGAATTCATCCTTTGCATCATATGAACTGCAGTTGATGGGTGCGTGGGTGGAGATTACAAATAGGCACTAGCCAGCTTCACGATCCTTCATTGTTCCATTCAGTCAAGTAGCACATAGACGGCTGTTGACTGGTATCTGCCCTACAGCTAAATGCTATCCCTACACCTTCCTGTCCACGAGAGACAGTCAGTGGCTCTTCGGATACTCGTAAGATGAATTTTGAAGATCCACTACTATGGTCAGGTGAGGTTAGTCTAATAACCACACTCGAGCTCTGTATACGCGTTTCAGAGACACAGCATACATCCATGGCTTGAGATTCCAGAGTTCTTGCGAGTGCTGATTGCTGTACCATTTAGCCTAGAGTTTGGACATTTAAAGCTCCAATATTGATAGCGCGGACTAGGAATGAGGTTTCGATAGCTTTGGTCGTTGGCAGTGGTCGCAGAATGAGTGGTTGAGGAAGGTACCAGAAACCTGATATTAGTATCAGGAGGTGAAGGTAAAGGCAAAAAAGAAGACAGAGTTGAAGAGTATAGGTTGTTCGATTGGACCTTGAATACTACTGGAAGCGTGCGGGTGGTTGACGCTTCCGGGCTGCTTACACCGTGGAGGGATATTTCTTCTTAAGGTACCTGAAAAAAGATTGGTGTGACTACGAAGCCAATGGGAAATCTGCTTGAGGCGGGTCCCATACGACCCTTTTGCAAATTTAGATTTTGGTTTCAAATCCGACTATGAATACCTGTGGCAGGCATCAGCATGCCGATGATCGATGAAGTGCGCTATTTTGGGGGCCGATCTTTTCATCACACCCTTTTTCCATAGGGAAAACAGCTTGACACTGTCGGTCATCCAAGGGAATCACCACCTTACTGCTGTCACAACCCCGTCCAGTCAGCAATTCGCTCTCAGACCTCCATCAGAGTGTATTAATTTACACTACAACGGTAACTGCTTTTCGTCTTACTGTAGTGGACGTTGCTGATAAGAATGGATATAAGTAGTACCTGTTAGAAGGGATTCTGCCCAGAGAAACGCAAGAGACAATGTGGGTGTATTAAAGGCAAAGCAAAATACAAACAGAAGAGATGAAGCACATTATGCAAATGACTTAGTCCAAAGTGTACCATATTTGATGACTACTATGCAAGATGTCAATAACAAACAACCCTTCCTTCGTCTGTCGTCTAGTTTCCTTCATTACCACTGTCCAACAAACCTTTCAGACATGGTAGGACCTCGAAGAAACACGCGTTCCACCCAGCGTACTTCGTCTGGTTACTGTGATATGCAAGCCCAACCACCACGTCAAGACAGCAGCTATCAACCAGGTCACTGTAGTGTGCATATTCGATATTATAAAACAAACAAACATCAAAATCGCTACCCAAACAAGATGATAACAATGGTTGGATGGAATGAATAATCAAAACTTGCTTATCAACCACAATAACGACATCAGTATTCGCCTCTCGTGATATGAAGGCTTGCCAAATATGGTTATTAATTAATTAAAACTATACGGAAGCACATAAAGTCAGGGAAATTGGAAGCCACTTTCCGCTAGAATTTACAACCGTAATCAGGTGTGAGACATGACAAGATTTGAGTTTACCACAGTTGAATGAATGATTCAGTTACTTAGTAACCTCAAATACTAGAAAAACAGTTCTATGACATCCAGAAGTGTCATGAACATATAAACACAGTACCTTGATCAACATCAGCTGGTAACGACGTACTGGTTTCACAAAACTGTGTATCGTGAGATTTTTTACGGAATGTGTGTAGTTCTCTTTGCTGTTCAGAAGAGCCACATCCCGACAAGTGAGAGCATAATGACTTAGTAGAGTGATGTTGCTGATATTGTGAGACTGGCTCTGAATATGGTTGCATTTTAGAAGTAGACGCTTCGAAACTCCGACTACTTGGATAAAAATTACTAGGAGAATCTGAATATGAAGGTAACACTTGCTTGGCAGTATTAGCGAAACCAATATCAGAAGCCGTAGACGAACGTACTCCAAGAAATAAGTTAGTCGAAGTATCTACAAAAATAAATGGAGTTTAAAATTTTTATAAAAACGGTGACATATTCAAGTCAAGATGTAATATGACATTTCGAATATGTTGTCAGCAAATATTGTTAAACGAATATTTAATGGCAAGTAATGACGAGTCAAAGTTACACACTGCTAAGTTGCTTATATGAAAGCCTAAGTATGTCTGGTGTACGTTTTACGCCTGTTAAGTATAAGTATGGAACTAAAAAGAACCGAGCTCTCCAAACAAACGCACGTATTAGGCAATGAACCACACCCATTGCATGACAGCTGATGAAAACACCCGGTTACCTGAACACGGTAGGTGGAGATGGGTTGAAAGTCAATCACTGAGCCAAAGTTTCAAGGCAAATACTGATCTTTACCGAGCCTTATTTTAAGATTAAGTATAGAAGTGGTGGAATCTACCGACTATTTCACTCATTTGTGTATTTTCAATTGACTGACTGGGGACACAATCCTAGGGCAAATAGAAGACGCTTCTTTGACGCTAGCGAGCTTATGCCACCTCTCGTATCAGAAAGATCAGACTGTCTATTAAAGGGTGATTTTAATACTCCGCACTCCGTTTTGTACAATTGTAATTGATTATAAATGTATTCTACACATTGCTCCTATGTGGTTGAATCATAATACCTAATGCTGAGACTAAACATACAATTATGAGGAAAAGAAGACATGTCGGTTGTTGGTGTTGTTAAGCGTTGATCGAATAAAGTGACGTGCACACGCTAAAACACCACCTACCTCAACGCGCAATGTCAGCCAAAATGCGATTACATTGAAATCTACCTATATCCCAAGGTAAACGTGATCAAATAAAAAAATGGAAACAATCTATTAAGTTATTGATTTTCGGTCTGAAGTAACTAAGGTGGTGCACGCTGATTTGCTAGGACTGTCAAGATGATAGAAGCCAATGACTACAGACTTCGATTAGGCGGTGATTCAAAACCTGTCTTAACGATACACGTAAACACCCTTTATCATTAGTGCAACTGAGATATCCGTGGTTTAGTAATGAGTGCTGATTGAAGGTGAAATTAAAACCTAGGTTGCCCTAGGATTTACACCAGCAGCCTTAACGTCACCAAGTGAACTACGAGACCCAACTGCAGACCAGGTCTTTATTTCATTTCAGTTACCAAGAGTTTTGTCATGCAAATCTATGATACTTAATTGCTCGTTCATCGTAATAACACTGGATGCTCAGTCAGATCTCGTTCCAATCCAAATCGAGTTGAATGAGAGAGAGGGGTGTCATATTGATGATTAGTCTAACTATATGGGTTAACCGAGGTTTTGGAGACGCATATTACTGCTACTAGGTGACAATCATCTTCAAATTTTCGACCAATCTTACTAATCGTCATTTATTTATCCTCTCCTCTCTCGTACACTTTTGTCTACGGTGGCAGGACCAGACGGACTAACTCCAGAGGTATACAAGGATGGTGGTAAGGTGCTCTTAATCAGGTTAACGGAAGTGTTAACCAGCATATGGGAATCAAATACGATCCCCTCTGACTGGTCTGAACCACTGATTATTCCAGTCTTCAAGAAAGGCGAGAAGTCCTCTTGTGATAACCACAAAGGAAACAGCCTGACGAACATAGTGTCCAAGACCCTAGGTTCTACAGTTCTCCGACGCCTAAGTGGAGCTCGGGAACAGCAAGCCCAAGAAAACTAGGCAGGATCTAGACCTGGCCGCGGGTGTATCGAGCAGAAATTCAGACTGAGCCAGGTCCTGGAACATGGACACACAGACCGACGCCCAACAATAGCTGTATTTCTCGACCTGAAGGCGGCATTCGACTCCATTGATCGAGAAGCCTTATGGCAATGTCTCTCACTGAAAGGTGTGCCAAGTAAGTGCATCACCTTATTGAAGGTTTTCTACTCGAACATTTGTGTGTGTGTGTGTGTGTGTGTTAGAGCCTATGGTGAGATGTACAGGGAACTATGCTCATTGAGTGGTGTTCGTCAAGGGTGCCCACTGTCTCCATTCTTATTCAATTGTATCATAGATATTCTTATGGAGGTCACCTGACTACACAGAGGTTGACCTAATCACAGGAGGATTTTCGTTAGACCTAGAACATGCAGATGACATTGTCCTGTTAGGTGAAGACGCTGACAAGATGCAGAGTCTTCTGAACATTTTGAGTGGCAATTTGAGAATGTTTGGGATGCGGTTCTCACCACCCAACTGTTAATTGTTGCTCCAGGATTGGTCTTCGACAGTGCTCCACCACGGCTAACAATAGAGAGTGAAGTGGTTGAGTGTGTCGACCACTTCACTTACCTGCGAAGTAGGATCAGCCCTGGTGGCTCAGTTGCTGATGAAATCTCTCCACCAATACAAAAGGTTCAGTTGGCTTTTGCCAATTTACGCCACCTGTGGCGTCGCTGTGATATCCGATTATCTATTAAGGGTCGCGTGTACTGCACATCAGTCCGGTTTGTTCTAGTGTATGGCTGTGAAACATGGCCATTGAAGGTGGAACATATGGGAAGGCTTCAAGTGTCTGACCACCGTTGCCTTCTTAGTATAAGACGTATTCCGTGGTGTCACCATGTGAGCAATTCAGAAGTCAGGTATAGAGTTTTAGGGAGTAGAGGTAAATCAGTTGACGAGGTTATGAACCTTCATCGACTGAGATGGTTGGGACACGTACTACGTATGCATAGTCACCGATTGCCTCGTCACACAATGTTGACCGAAGTAGGTCCAGCCTGAAAAAATGCCCAAGATGGCCAGACTAAAACATGGCAGCAATGTATGAAGTCTCTCACTGTTGGTCTGAGTCATGTGGGGCGATGCAGACTAGGTGGTTGGGGCCCACGGGACAACAGGAACCAGTGACTGGAGACTCTAGGTGATATGGCTTAGAACCGATGTCAGTGGCGCAGATGTATACACACATTATTCTCATCTTAACGCTATACCGATTCTCACCATTTTCTCATTCTCCCTTTCTTTCTTCTCGTACTTTATATTTCTTTTGACTGAATTTTCTTATCTTCATCTTTCACCTCACTACCTTTCTAGTTGATGTAGTGATATGAGCTGTGGCAACTCGGACCATTACACAGTAATGCCTGGTCCGAAGTTGATATTGATGATTTGCTTTAATTCCGTTTTTTTCCAATCCAATTTCTTTGCTTGCTGCTGAGAAGCATGGCAATTTCACTCGAACTTCTACGTAAGATTCTACGTTGACTTTTATGTATCTCCGGATTAATTTCTGAATTCTTGTCATTATTTTATATGACTACAGTTCCTTATAAAAATTGATTTTGCACTAAAGTTAACTTGAACTTTAATCAATAGTCACAGAACCTGACCACTTTTCTTCACAAAATAATATCAAAAATCTATCTAAAGAATCATTTTCCAAGTTTTCGTACAATCTGATATGCTTCGAAAGTAAACAAGTATTCCTTATCATCTCCTGACGCAGATTCTGACAGATTAGAACAACTCAAGGCTGAAAATGAAGCAAATATGTCTGCAATCAAACTGATGAACAACAGTAAATATGTGTAGTCATAAGGTTTTAAATAGTGATCTTGATTTTGTGACGTCAAATTCAGAGTGAATTCTCAATTAATTTTACGTGAATAAATCCAAGTAACTAAACACGTCCTGTTACTGAAGCACACAAATACAGGAATAAAACTACTCCCAACACATCCTATCATACCTTTTATTAACATGGCCCCTATACATTCTGAATAACATACCAACTAAAACTCATGCATTTATAATAAATGGATATTTTTTTTATTGAAGAAACATGACAAAATTTTTATTATATGTCAGCTTATTCGGTTTCATTTTCCCCTTGAGAACAGATTTTCTTACCTTGGGACGGTATTTATTTCTAACGTGTAGTGTAGAATTACTAAACAGCAACAAATATATTTCCAAGTACGAAAATGAACAGAACCAATTATTGAAGCTATCTGACAGTCATAGTTGGTAGGCTCAGATGATGAGTGAAATTGACAATGAATTTCGAATACAAATCCTTAAGCTATAAATAAGCCATATGTGCTATCCAATCGCTAAATGTTTTGTCCAACGCTTATGTGAATGACATCAGCAACTCTCTGTTCCTTAACAGACTAAGCTGAGCAGTTAAGTCTTTTTGCTCCATTCTAAAGCCAACCAAGTCAGAAAACACAAGCGACCAATAACTTTCTGGTCAGAATATATGCGACAGATAGTTGAATTCCGTAAGGTAAACGATTCTGTAAGTTAAATAAAGCTTATTACAACAGCATCCCAATAAATATTTTAATAATGAGAATTACTGTGACAGAAATATTCAAACTGCTAAATTTGTATCCCATCAAGAACATAAGGAAAATTAATAGATAGGGAGATACGTGGGATATGAAAACAACTTTTTTGTTGAGTCAATAAATAATGCCTTATTTACAAAACATTATAAAGGTGAATAAAACTCTTGTTTTCAGTTAGAAATAGGCAACACTAGTTAGGAATAACACTTCAGTAAGACTTACCATCAGTTAATATTGAACTAGATCTGATCTCTGTCGTGCATGTCGCCGGATGTGTGGCGAACAAAGGAGAAATATAACGAGGTGGTTGTGAACCTGTAGGTGATATGAGAGAGAATGGTCCTGCTCCAGCCATGTTCAAAAACCCATGGTGTGTGAGCGTTGAAAAGGCTTGATTTATTTCGGATACAGCATCTTCAGCATTACAACCTAAACGTAATGACCCCAGTAGTTCATTCAATGTGGGTGGTTGCTGTCCGATAGGTGGAACTTTTACATCTATATCCGAAGCAACACTTGAAAATTGTTGAGATAAGCAAAGAGAAGGTGAAATTCCAGGATAGAGAGTAGTAAGATGAGCACTTCCTGGGTCTATCTGAGGAACAGCAACGGGATTCCCACCAGTACCACCAACCAATGACGGAGTAGTGCTATAAGGGATTGTGAATGATGCTTGAGACATGGCAGTCATATATGGACTAGATGATGCGAATATATCTGCACGAGATGGATATGATTCACTAGGATGTCTAGAAGCAATTGCAGTTAAAAGTGATTGATTTGTTGGGTAAAAAGCTACAAAAGTAGAGAAAACATGAAAAATGACACTGACGAATGCAATTCACCATGGTATCCCCTGAATATTCAACTTAATAGCATTATTTGACTATTGATTGTTTATAGTTATGTAGATTAACGAGAACAAAAAAAATGCTCTGAGGCATCTATTCTATAAAAGTGTGGAAAAAAAGCTATTTGAGATAACAGTTATGGTTTACATACTCAGTATCGTTAAGACTTTAAATTCAATTAGATGATAATTTAGTTTAGTGGCAAACTTTAGACGAAATTCTTTGGTAAATCCCAACTCAGTACTAAAGGCGTTGTCCGGTTTGGTCCGCTTTTTAATACTTCACTCTATCTATATTGCATAATAAGTACTTCTACTGACTTTATTTACAGGTATGCTAACGACGTATCTTTCCGCATAAGAGCATCACTAATAAAGCACCCCCTTTCAATCAATCAATAGTTTGTCTTACCTGTAAAATCAGAAGTAATGTTAATTAACGTTTTGAAACACTTTTGTCTGTGTTATTTTTACCATAATAAGTATACCATTAAAAGAAATTTTGGCAAATATGACAACTACTTCACTATCCCTAAATATAATATCCCATGCTCTGAATTAACGACAAATCGTTCAGAGATTTCTGATATGCTCTGTCATGCTCATCTTCAGGTTGTGTCCAGTGGGAAGAAAGCTTTAGAGTTCTCACTTAAAAAGGAACGAAGGCACAAAATCATTTAGTGTTAGTCTGAGTTTTTCAAAAAATACCAAGTTATGTATAGTAATGAAGGTCAATGGCTAGCAGTGGAATCCAGGGTGCGCATTTCGTCCTATTTAGGACTCGTCAACTGGATGTACCTGCCTCCCAGTGAGTGATGTTGTTCCCACCAGAATACGGACTCGGCAGCTAGCCACTGCCCATCATTACTATACATAATTAAAACAGGCAATATCGAGGCATCCGCACAGGAGCCCATATACCGACAGAGATTGATCAATCCGGTCCAATCAACGACGGTGTTATACAAGCAATAATACTAAAACTATACCCGTCGCACAAGAAGTGGCTATCGTGGCTCGGTGGTGTAGTGGATAACGCTCTGGCATTTGAAGCGATCGCTCCCGAGTCCGAATCCTGGTGGGAACAACATTACTCACTGGGAGGCAGGTACATCCAGTTGGCGAGTCCTAAATAGGACGAAATGTGCATCCTGGATTCTACTGATAGCCATTGCCTATCATTACTATACATAATTAAAACACAGACAATATCGAGGCATCTGCACAGAAGCCCATATGCCAACAGAGACTGATCAGTTCGGCCCAATCGACGTTGTGAAACAAGCAATAACACTAAATACTAAATTATTGTCTAGGATCCTTAAGCTGGTAGGAATCATCTCGATCATACACCTCACAATCCATGGCAATATCAAAGCTGTATACGCTGTTCATTTTGATCTAAAATATAAACTTTCCATCATTTTATTTCTGTCCCTTCCTTACTGTTTTTCTTCCGACTCTAGATATTTTGTTTTATTTGAAGTTATTACTCTATGATGTCTGAATCTTGGGAAAAATCAGTCACAAAAACAATATAAAGTTATCGTTGATCCAATTAAACAATCATTAAGCTCTTCGTTGATTACATTTTACTCACTGGCACCATTTTATGCTAACAGTCTCCATTGTCATGACGAATTACGCTGAATCTCTGTGCCGTCAATCTCCTTTAATCACCACAGACTTACTGTAGCAGTAATATATGACTTACCACATTTGAAAAACACATAAAATTCATCAAAACGATAGAAAGTGATTTCAAATACCTACATAGTCAGAGGTAGTGGAAAAACTGCAGAGCAATAATAAAACACAAACATTTCATAGTGAATTTAATTGACATGACACAGTGATACAGTATCATTTACTTGATCACATATGTAACTAACTAACTATTTTCGACTCAAGTATAGTTGCTTTATCCCATCCTATTGTGTGTTAATGTATAAATTGCGATAGGTGCTTTCTTTGTTCTAGACTATCAATCTTAGTGGGGTTTATCATTCTACACTTAGCTCAATTTCTATGCTCTGATAATTTAACTAACCCCGATCGGCTAGTTTAACCTACGTACTTGACCTCATAGTCATTACACAGTAACGAACCATTAAAAAGTCACATGATCACCGGGTGTTTATGACCTACTTGGTAAGAAGACAGTATCGATTTTCAAATATAAACAGTATCTACTAATGGTTATTTCAGTAGGTAATAAGGCAGGAAGTAAAATCAAGGGATAGCATGACTGTGTCGCTGGATAGTCAAAATTATAGCGAAAAAGATTAGTAACTAAACTCTAATTTATGAAATAATATCAATGTGTTCGCCAGAGAAAAAGATGATCACTGATTTAACCCTTGAATGAAATAAAGCATACGAACTACAGTGGCATTCCTAACTTTGGTATAGTAGTTTTCATTTTTATGTTATGTAATGGGATTTTGTCCTATTGGAAAATTTCAAAAACCAATGGTCAACTGAATTCCACTCCTATTTGTGTTTTAGGCAATGGGTCAACGGTTTGAACCCTACTCCAACCATTTCAGTTTAAACAGCTTCCAAACAACAAGTGGGGCCACAGCCTAGCACATAAAAGTGTACTGAGTTGAGTTGTAGCGTATTTCTTGGTGCCCATCACGGTATAACGTCTTGGTTTTCAATAAAATAAAGTTATAAGCTGTTTAAACACTACCATGGACTCACCACACTTGTCTATTTTTTACTCTTCATCACATAAGTAAGGTGCAACCCTGATGACATATTTGATGTCCCATGTCAATACGAATCGCTAGGTATTGGCTTTCCGAAATAGTTTTATTCATAACCACCGTACCAAGAATCTTCGTATTGAATAAAGAGATAGAGACAAGGTGTTGACCTTTTAACTATATATTTGACCAGGTTTATACCCTTCAGTATTGCGAACGAGGATTAAGATACTTATACACTATGTTAATCCAACATTACCTCTTAAACTAATGCTGGTTTACGGCAGAAAATTATCTTCAAACCTGACAAAGTGATGCATTTTTATAAGGAGCCAGTTAACATACCGAATACAAAGAGTTGTGATAGACCGAATTGTCTAAAAATGTATTAATTGAAAGACGGCACAACGCAACGTCATGAGCAGTACAAGGTGCTTCAACATATTTAATAAAAGGATGCTATACATAATGGAAGGCGCCAGAGTATCCAGTATCAAAAGGAAAAAATGTACACGTCAAAAATTTGTGTTTCAGTTAAGTGGACAAAAAATCCAAACAATTTCGGCATCTTATTTTACGAAGAAAACAAATTAGCTTAGACAATCAAAAAAACAAGTATAAGACGTATCAAGATGAGAAACACTAAAAAATAAGAGTTTCTTTACTGACTGCCGATCACAATTTAGAATACCATCTTTTTTAAAGTTGGAGAAAGACAAGTTTCATCAAACAAAAATCGAAAGACCTTATAAATTCTTAAACATGACACATGATATTCTATACAAATCAGATGACAAAAGTAAAGAGAAAGATTCGCACATAAAATTGATATCATACATGATTTAGAATAATTGAAAGTAATATTTATCTAGCATCCAGAAAAATAAAAAAATAGCATGGAAGCAGTTATTCATATGGTACTGGAAATATTATGTACAACCCCCAGTTAAAACACTAAACACCAAAACGAATCAGTAAATGGAATACTGGCCTATCCACGTACTTTTTGCGTGAAAAACGAACGAATTTTAGGAAACTTTCAGTTTGTTTATTAATTTGACGCCTTTTCTAACGCTAAGCAAATAATCAGCCAGTCATACGAAACGAGCATATGCGAAGAAGAGCACAATCAGCCACATTTTTAGGAGAAAAGTAATTATAATTTACTTAGTTGTGGTTAGCAGGGGACGTGTGTTTCGTCCTATTTGGGACTAGTCAGCTGAATGCACCTGCAGCTCAGTGAGTGATGTTGTTCCCCCTGAGACTCGAACCTCGTACCCATCGCTACGAATGTCCCAAACGGAACGAAATGCGGGTCCTGGGTTTCATCGCTAAACACAACCAAGTAAATTATGATAATAAATATTCAGGCAATATTGAGACATCAGCGTAAGAGTTCATATGCCAACAGAGGTCGATCAGTTCGATCCAGCATAACAATGCAGAAGTACAAGTATATCAATAAATAGACAGATAAGTTTATTAAATGTGTACCCCGAATACATGAATAAATACATACATTAGCGATCTCCATTAAGACATAAAACAAAGCTTTCAGCGAAAAATTTTCTTTGAGACGATTTCATATTCAAAAGCTGCACGGTGGTATTTATATATGTTAAGGTACAGTAATAAATTTGTTTGTATATTCATCGAGAAGCATTTTCCGTCGTGTATGAGAGCACTTCCCAGTATGACTGAGCTAAGAGCAATGTAGAGGCATAAATTCATCAATCCTCCAACATGTAGTTGACTAGAACCATGCAGCTTCCCAATTATAACTTGATATGATATACAAGGGCAAATCAAACAGTAAGGTGCATGCACACACTCCGCATCGTAGACGCCTTGGCGGTAAATAATCCTAAACCAGAGCTGTGTGTACAGAAACAATGTGTACGATCGTTTTCACTACCTTGGACCTAATTTACTGATTTTGACAACATTTCTCACACATCTAGCTCTTCGTTATTTTTATTCTAGTCTATTTCAATCCATTTTATTTTCTCATAGCAATTTCACTTCTCTTGATCCCTAATCATATCACACTTTGTTTGACTGATTTTCACATTTACTGTTTCACCTGATCTTTACTCAACTACTTGTAGATGAAATAACATCATCTACTTATTTGCCTCCTATCTTGCGTCCTTGACATTTGTTCTTTAATACTTTTCCAATTGATTTGATGATTCATGGAATATTATCCTCACTTTACGATTCCACTTTGTGTA